ATGGAAAAAATAGACTTCTTAATAAGAGCTAAGGATGACTGAAGTTGCTTTATCTAGTCTACAGCAACAGTTAGCTGAACTTGCACTGGTTAAGCAAGCCAATCGTGAGTATTAGTTGTACAATTAATATATGATCCCATTAAAAACAATTACTAGGATGTAAGCATAACCAGTGACTCTCCCCTCTGCTAATATGTTATCACTGCCAGCAGAGCACTTTGAAAAGTTACGAGCATTTATTAAAGGTGCAGCAAGAAACTTATAAAACTAAAACTTAAATTTGCCTGCAAAAAATAATGCATTTATTTATTTATTTATTTTTTTCTTTTTCATGCATAAATTTTGTGCTTTACATCATTATCTTGACTAATCTGATTATATCGTTTTGGTTACTTTCGCTAGAATATCAAAACAACAACAATGGCAGCGAAAGTTAGAATGAAATTTTTACCGCAAAAATAAAGAAAATAAAAATTCACATAAACTATATATTCACCGCTTTTATGCAAGACATGTTGTTATTGTTGTTCTTGTTGTTGAAAGCCCCTTAACTACAAGGTATATCAGCCACAATGCAAGTGTAGCTGCATTGTGTCAGTGGATGTAAAAATAATCCTGCTTAAATCTGCTTATAATGAAGATTGCAAAGGAGACAATGTGTTACGCAAGTTTTTATTAATTTTCTTTTCTTTCCTTTTTTTTTTTTTTGTTTTTGTACCTCTACTAGTTTTAATTAATGCAGATATTCTGACTGATTATAAAGCAAAATTCTGAAATTCTCATGCAATAGTTTTTATTAATCAGCCATGTAATTGAACACTTCCAACAAAACAAATAAAAAAATTATATTCAGTCGTGACCGAATCTTTCACCGTCATTATCGTTATTCTAAAAAAGACAAAAAAAATAAAAGAATTAAATTTTTATGCTCCATAATAAGGAGTGGGCTCGGCTGATTTTTTCTGGTTTCAAACGCAAAAGCGTGTAGGCTTGACCATTGAAAACTTTAGATCATTCAAAAATTCTTTTGCAAATGTGTAAGCGAGAGAATTTTTACCACAGATACACAAATAAAGCCTGCCCTTCAACCAATTTAGCTCGTTTTCAATACCAACCTGCGTGCAAGGATTTGCAATGCTTCATTTTTGCGGCCACGTAAATGTTTACAACATACATTACATAGACGGCCGGACACGCGGACGGATAGATGGACATGCGTAAATCGATGTAGAATTTGATGCTGATTAAGAATACATAGAATGTTTTCCGGCAAATTTGAAGTCGATAGTTTCAGTTTCGCGGCCAAGAGAATGTTGAATGAATTTGATGCTGATCGAGGATAGATGTACCTTGTGAAATCTCTGATGCCTCCTTCTGGGTGTTGCAAGCGTTTTGACAAAAAAAATGTACTCCGTAATCCTTCGGTGATGTATATAAAAAGAGGAGTGTTTGCAAGTATTACGTAAGGACGCGCTAAACTGCTACATGTATTTACTTAGCTTATCAAACACTCAAAAGTTTGGCAACTCTCCCCGCCCGTTGTGATCGCACTGTTTTTTTTTATGCGAAGAAATTTTCCAATTTCTTGTTCTTAATTTAATGCTTTATAGGCGTTTAAAGAATAATTTGATTATTAAGTAAAAAAGTTGCTTAAATTAAGTGAATTATTTTAATAGTTTTGTGGTAATATTCATTTTGGCTTCAGAATTTGGTGCTCTCCATAATAAGTCTGCTTGTTGTTTTTTTCCTTTTGTGTGTTTACAGTTTTTTCTCTTGCTCCTTATTTACTGTATCTTTTAGTAGTGCGTAGCTTACGTCCAATTTGAGAGATAATTTTTATGTGTGAGATGAACTTTTTTTTTTCACAATCTCTCTGTCTTCGCTCTTCAATCTCTTGTGTGTTACTTTTTTACGTAGGAGGTTTTATTACATCACGTCGAACAAAAACGGGCCCTGAATCTGAACGGTCCATTGCCTGTTGGCCTTACGATCGCTTTTATCATGCGAAGTGTGCTGGTACTAATGGCTGTGCTGCCAGATGCATTCCTTGATCCTTCTAGAAAGCGGGATATTGGCTTTTATAAGCTGTTCACGGACACAAAGATTGGATGTTCTGAACTAATTTGCAAATGCTATTGCTGGTAATAGGGATGACGTCTGCTGTACGGCAGCACCCCCTACAAAGGCAATATTCATGTCAAGACTGGCGCCTGACACCTCTGTGGGTAACATAAAAAGTTGTCTGGGTGCAAAAATACTATCCATCAATTTGAAGAGCGTAAGCATTTTCAAATTGGCTCCATCTCAACCTAGAGCTATCTCGTCTTTTAAAGTATTAATTCTGACTAAATATATGGAAATTTTGCTAAACAAACCACTGTGGCCAATTGGATCCTTAAATAAGGAAGTCATTCCTCGGGATCGACTCCGTAATACTAATTCGGTTACTCTTTCCACCCTAAAAAACTAAATGTTTTTTCACGACCAGCAAGTTTCACTCAGTAAAACGTTAGGGGCCTAAACTCAAAAATGCGTCCCACTATTCTAAATTCAGTGAACACGGAGTTTCCTTGTTTTGGCTTCACCGAAACTTGGTTAAAGCTTTATTTACATTTATCGTAACTTTTTCACAATTCTTTCCAGGTTTTCAAAAAGGATCGATTGGATTGCAATGATGTTGGTGTCTTAATTGCCACAACTTCTGCAGTCCCGTCCCGTGCCATTAAATATTCTACTAGTCCCGACGTTGAATTTATTGCCATTTGAACGGAAATGATTCTGTCCATTTTTAAGAAACATTCTGGCCTCATTTGTGACGTTGCCGGAAAGTCTAAACCTATTGATTTAGTAAGAGCTTTGGGAGACTACAAGTTGCCACAAGTTCCATGATGTTGCAGTTATAATTCTGGTTGAGTCCTCTGATGATATTGAAATCTCGAATCTCTTTGCTGAATACTTCCGACCAAATTTTTCAACTCCTAATTCCGATTGAACTTTCAACTATCCGTATGGGATATCTAGCTCGGTTTCGATTACTAACTTGATCATTTCAGAAAATGATGTGTTAGATGGTTTTAAATCTTTAAAATATTGTTCTGCGCCTGGACAGGATGAGATTCCGCCATGTATACTTAAAACCGCCTCTGTCGAGCTATGTGGTGTTATTTGATGGATGATTTTTTATCAGTCCTTGAAATCTGGTGTTGAAAGAATAGTATCCTTACCCCAATTCACAAATGTGGAAATAGACATCACGTAGAGAGCTATAGAGGCACCGCCAAATTGGGTGTCTTATCTGAATTATTTGGGCGAATTGTTACACAGCTTTTGTTATTAAATCTTATATTTCTCCATTTCAGCATGGCTTTCGAAAAGCCAGATCTACTGTCACTAATCTCTTACGAACTTACTTGCCATGTGTTGAAGGATCTCGTACGGACTGATTTTAGCAAAGCGTTTGACAAAGTTGACCATAACTTATTGATCTTCAAACTCCAGCCCTCTGGCTTCCCTTTCTAGTTAGTGAAATAGATAAGCTCGCATCTGCATTGAAGATCCCTCGGGATCGTCCCTCAAAGCAGCTACTTAGGACGCTGTTTATTTAATTTACTCTGACAATGTTAAACTGTTTTCTTTCTTCTCCTTGGAATCACAATCGTATCATCTTCAAACTAATTTAAATAAGTTCGTTACATAGAAGGAAGTCATTCAGTATTAAGTATTTCATTGACTCAAGCAAGTTGGAATACGTTAATTGGTCCATCGGCTTAGGTGTTTTGTTTGACCAAAGATTACGTTTTAATATGCACATTGAGCTCTCCCCAATTAAAGCTACGTCCGCGCTTGATTTCGTTAAGAGATGATCCAAAGACCCAAGGGATCCTTACATGGCAAGAAAGTTGTACATGTGTTTGGTTAGACCAATACTTGAGCATGCCTCTGTTCTGCGCTCTCCTTCCTACAGATGTTAACTGGATCCAATTGAGGTCGCTTCTATTATCCTAACCGTCACTTGAGAACCGTAGATTTATTCTTGGTCCCTCTTTCTTAATTAAATTAATTAATGATACTATCGACTCGTCCACACTACTTGGTGAAATAAGTTTTAATGTCACTAGTCACTTCATGTTCATTAAGCTGAGTGATTGTAAATATAATTAAGGGCTGTTTAACCCGTTTAGAGTTGTTTGCAGAACCCTAAATGGTGTCTCTTACCCAATCTCAATATCGAATTCTTTAAAATTTATCAAAACAATTTTGCTTAATTACTAGGTATTTGCCTACGCTGCATTTAAATTAACTGTTATCCTTAATATCTCATTATGATTTGAAAATTAATTGGTGCTGTTTACCATCCCGTTGCCTACATTTTACATGTTTTTTTTTTCTTTACTATTATTATTTTTTTCTCTTTAGTGCTTTTTATATACTTTACGCTAGTTTTTAATCATAATTCGTACAAGATTTACTTCTAAGAGTCAATTGAGTTTGGCTTTTAATGTAAAATAAAAAAAAATGTTAAAATGTAATTTAATTATATGTGCGTATATGTAATTAAACACGTAGCTTTCATCGCATTGTATTTGAGGAAAATGTATTTCGCATGAGTATTAAGTAAAAAAAAATATTGCATGATGCACGATGCAAACACATTCAAATGCTCTTCGATAGTGTGCAATGTTTTAAACTAACGAAATAAATGGCAATGTTATAACTTTCGGTCAATGGCATTTGATGGCAATATTGTTGTGAAATTTTCTGAACGTTTCAATTGATGCAGCTTAGCAAGTGTAGACAACGTTCTGCGTTTTACGACACATTTCGTTGTTTAACATGTGAAAAGATCTTAAAAACACCTACAAATCAATTTCTTTTAACTCATTTAAGTCTTCCAATAAACAGTATTTGCCAAACTTTATGATAATAAGAATTCGATAAAGTTTTATTTTATTATATAGATTTAATAAAATAACGAATGATGCCAAGGTGTATCGTTTTATATACTTTTTACAAACAAAAATCTTAATTCATGCAGAAAAGCCATTTTATTTTCCGGCCGGTAAAGCTGGTGGACTTTTATTGGCCAATTTTCGATGTTCCAACGTGTTAAGTTTAGCGATTTGCTTAATCGTGTCCAATTCTTTAATAAACGCAGCTAAAACATCTTTGGTGCCACTGCAATTGGCTCCTTTTAAATCTTCCAAGCTATCATTACGTTCCAAGTCTGCAAAAATGATCATTTAAAAAAAAAATATAAATTAAAAAAAAAAAATTTTCACAAACCGTCTATAGCGAGTTCGATTTCTTCCAAGCGACTCATTACTAACTGTTGCTGTACTTTAATATGCTCAAGTAGACGTTGCTGACATTCAACAGGGTCTATAGGTGCCTCGGGTTGCGGTATATTGGGCACGGGTTTCAGAGGCGTTGCAGATTCCAACTTGATTTTCTTCGATGGCGAAGTGCTACTATTAACTGGTGAAAATTGAGCTTTGTTATCATTTGTGCTCTGCTGTTCGGAATTTTTTATTTCTGATTTAATGGGCGTTTCATCCCAACGTTTAGCCCATAAATAAAGTTTAGGATGATATTTATTGTTCGCTATATTGATCTTGACACGCAATGAATGCATGAAATTTTTCAATTCCAAGAGATTACCTGTTAGCGTGTGACATCTTTTAAGGAAATCAAATTTATTTGATGCCGAAGGATCTGAAGAGTGATAATTCGCCTGAGGTAATTTACCTTCATACAACCAATCTTGATCGTGCTTAAAAAGCATAGATTCACGAGCTCTTTGAGGATGACGACAAATATAACAAACGTATTTCTCGGGTACTTGCGATTCTTTATCAATACCATTGCAAAAGCCATGCTGCCAGCATAAGCATAACTCGCACTGTATCATAAGTCCATCTTCTTCACCGTATCCACATAAGCAATTGATAATCTCTTCTTGACGCATACGGACTATTTTGATTAGTTCACCATTTTCTTTAATGTATTGGGGAGTATGAGCAACTTCATTTTCATTCGACGAGGGAACGGCAAAGGAACCTGCCGAACCTGAATCGGCAGTTATAGGCGAGTCAACGCCACTTAAAGGGGTAGCTGGAGCATTGATAACGGCGGTGGACTTGCGTTTTTTTGTGGCACTTGTACCATGATCAGGAGTTGCATTAAAGGAGTGTCTAGTCTCCTCTAAATCAGTAACCCCGCCGAAACTTGTGTCTGAAGCCATTACCAAAGAAGTCAAAGCAGCAGTCCCAGCGGTAGCCTGAGCTGCAGTCAAATAACGACGAGTAGTGCGTTGACGTTGACTTTTTCTCGAGCCCGAAGTACGTTTCGTAGGAGAAAGCCTTTTGGATGTAGAGGGCTCATTTAAATTTATCCCTATTGTTCCAGATTCGTTGAGATTATTATCTAGAGTAGGTGAGCTGAACGAATCCTTAACTATTGAGCTTTCAGCAGTAGAATCCAACTGATTTGCCGACTCATTAAGGGTATGCGAAGTAACAGATGCTTTTATGTCTTGGTCATCAGTTTTCATGATATTATCTTTTGATTCTGCAATGGGCGGGGTGGCTTCATTCGGTTGTTTCATCACCCCCATACTGCGTCTATGTGCTCTGCTCTGTTCTAGATCTTGCTGATGAAGCTTTGCGAAAAATTGTTGATTAGGTATTTGGTTTTTCGGTGTAGGTTCACTGGAATCATGTTCGGATGTGTGTGTACGTTTTTCAGCTAATTCTTGCATTTTCGGACAGGAACCCAGCAATCTATTGATGCAAAAATTTGATAAAAACTTCGTATTTCTTATAAAATTCTTACTTATTTAGATCCTGATGGTAATGTTTGACATGTATTTGCAAATGATTCTCTTTGCGAAAATTTTTTGAACAGCCTTCCTGAGGGCAACGAAATAGATTGTCGATAATTTGTACCTTCAGACCTCCGATAACAGCTAAAAAGAGCGGGAATTGAATTATCATTTACAATTTAGAAGATCACAAGGCACCCACCAAAACCTTTATCGACTTTAGGGTGCTCAGAGGTTGTTGTTGTCGATGTACTTTCCTCTTTCGTCATTACGGTTGGGGTAGTAGAAGGTGTTGGGGTTGAACTGGCTTCAGCGGATTCCAATAATTGTTTGGGTGGAATCTCGGAGACTACCTGGGTTATATTTTTGTCTTCACTAGCTGCGGAAGAAGTCAACAACTCTATTGGTGGCGTAGATTCAGCTACAGGACTTTCTAAAAAGTGATTAACAGTCGTTGCTTGTTTATTTGTTACGTTTGCATTTCCATTAGAACGTTTAGTTTCAGGCGCATTATCTGGAGATGAATGCAATGCAGATTTAGCTTTAATTGGATGAGATGGTACGTAGTCCGGTGTGAAAACATAGCAATTAATATCTTTAGCACGACGACGATGAATGCTAAAATCATAAATGTCTGGATTATATACTTGTCCTTGCTCCTCCAAATAAAGTTTTAAATCGGATTTCGATCTAAAACGCTTGCTACTAGGCGTCACCAAAATTACGTCCCATTTGCCCAAAACGTTAGACCGTTGGTACATATGTTTTATCCAACCAGGAGGGAGACGCCAATCTTCGACAATAACCGTGGGCTTACGATGTTCTCCTACGATAAGATAACCCTCACGACCAATTGGTTGATCATTTACCCAATGACATGTCCACTCACCATCCCGCGGTATTTCAGGGAGATTCAAAGAGCCTGAAAGATATGTGAAACATCAGCCCAGTGAAATAAACTGTGAAGTAGAGTTTAAAAAAAAAAAGAGCAGCTTACTTAAATCCAATTTCGACATATCTAATAATGGCCAGTCACGCCTTGGTCCATTCAGAGAACGTTTTTTACCACCCCCCGATGAAGAAGGGTTAGCGGCTGCCCGCTTCAATCCGACCGCGGAAGATAACGCACCAACGTTTGTTGTGTCAATCGCTGCATCTGTGATTACAGATGATTCTTCTCTTTGGTTAAGTGATGTTTTACTCATATGTATGGCTTTGACATTCTTTTTGTAACCATCATCAAACAAAACCTCATACATATCATTCGGCAGTACTTTCTTCACTGTTCCGGGATATTTACTCGGTCCCGACCAACGGGCCATGCATTTCTCTTCCAAAGCAAATGTGTGTTCTGGGTGTGCAGATTTTGTTGAAATTCTTTGACGTAAACGTGGAGAATTCATAGGGATCCATTCTTCAGTACCGACAATAGCCGAATTAGTCTTTCCGGTTTTTTCAAATTTAACTAGAATCTCAAATTCATTAATGTCGTCGACATCTACAACTCTGGCTGCGTGCCATATTTCCTTCAATTCTTCTTTAACCTCCAAACGCAAACCAACGCTGAAAGACGTAATAGGCTGATACTTAATGCCTGAAGATGTGCTGGATGCAGCATTTTCATCTTTTGCGCTATTTTCTTCATTCCTTTCATTGATTTTAGAAGTTTTTGTGGTTGCTGCAGCGTTTAATTCAGCAGTCTGAGCCATAATTTGCGCTACTGTTGCTGCTACGGTAGCTTTGGTATCCTCATCTACTGTAGAAGAAGATGGTGCTGGTAAAAGCGGCGCAGGCGCACCCGTGGAAGAACTTAAAAACTCCATGTCTGCTTCAATTTGCGCACTATCCATCTTTCCCCATGGAAAGACCGTAGGGAAAACTCGTTGTTTAAGTAGATATTTACCGCTACGTTGAGGTTGAAAATCTGCCCGCCTAAAATGTCGCGAGCAAACTAAAACACTTTTAGTGATTTGTCTTTCAGCGCTTATACGTGTATTGCGTATCCATATCACTCGAGTACTCTGATCCAAAGGGAATGAGTGATAAGTGACACCTATAATCATCAGAGATTAAAGTATATATAATATATAGAAATATATATAGAAATATTCACCGTGGTGTTCCGGCAACCGTGATGTGGAGGCGCAACCAGCAATACAACAACGGCGACCCATAATCTAAAAAAAAAAAAATTCGGGTATACAAAGTACTAAAAGTGGACGCTGTAACTTTAGTGCTATACTCTTTGTAAACTGTGCGATCCGTTTTGGTTTTTACTTTGCTTTAAATTATTTATTATTGTAAATCTTTATTAAGCATTTATGGCGCTTTGATAAGAAAATTGACTCTTTCTTTTCTTTTTAACGAAAAATTATCAATTCTTTAAGCAAATAGCAAATTCTCTCTATCTGACTTTATATGGAGATTTCCAACTAAATGCTAAAGGCACTTTTACCCAAGAGTTAAAAGTTTTACAACTCGGAGGTTTTATATATGCGAGTTTGTGGATGATAGTATTGCCAATATAAAGCATAATATTCTTAACTAGAAAAAAGCATTAGCTATGAGGGCTTTTTACAAAATTCGCTTGTAAGGAATAATGTTAGATTAAACTAAATATACGGGTTTGAGTGCATATAATTTTATATTACTTTTCTATGCCCATAAAACAGTAAAGTACGCCATGTATTCCGCAGCAATGCAGTGTGCGTATGTACAGCGATAGTTCATTTTTGCCATAAAATCATACGATGTTTAAAAAGCTAACCATATAATTATATTTTGTTTTTGTGAGCACGGAAAAGGGAAGAAAAAGAAGTCAAAAATTCCAAATTTCCTTTCCAAATTATCAAGCCATTTATGGAGTATATGTGACAGTCATATATATATAACGTAGTGAGCATTTTACTTGTTAATTATTTCTCTATTTTCCAAATTTTACTTTGCTTTCAAATTTGCCGTTTCCTTCCTAGTGCTAGCGCCGAATTATTCCTTAATGCACTAATGATTACCTTAGGTAATTGGGCAGAATTTTGAAACTTTCATAAAACTTGCTCATTGCCAGAACAACCGGCGTTATATATATATACCATACCATATATATATACCTAGATTTGCTAATAATCGTGACAAAAACTTGGAATTCGAAAAAAGCTTTTTTTCCAATTTTTTGATGAACTAATTAAAAATTAAATATTCCGCTTCGCTAGTTTTAGTGTAAAATTATGGGTTTCGAAATTTTAAGTGCTTTCGAATTGAGAGCACTTTCCTCATTAATTATGTAATATCTTTTTCTATGGATAAGAGTAGCTTTTCAATTCTAAATAAAATACAATGATATTAATTATGCAATCGTTGCTGCTAAGCGGAAATAAACAAGATGTAAAAAATTCTCGTATCATTTTTAAATGAAATGTAAATATATACAAAACATGCGTAAGCATTACCTGACTACAACTTAAAATTCGAGCACCCTTTTTATTCATTTATAAAAGTATTAGCAAACAAAAAGTAATGAAAAAAAAGAAACGAACACATGCCCAAAAATATATAAAATGATATCGTCAAGTCAATTACGTCGGCGCGTTTATATTGCTGGAACGTCCTTTACTTAATTCCTGCCCACTTATGAAATTATCTTTAAGTACCTCAAAGTATAATTAGCCACCCGTTAGTCACTTTCTTTAAGTAAATCTAAAAGTCGCGGCGTAAAATATGTTATAATACAATCAGCACCAGCTCGACGAAAGCCCTTCATCGATTCTAAAAGAACCTCATTCAAATTAAATGCTCCCTGTTGAGCACCATGGTACAGCATGGCGTATTCCCCCGACACCTGATACACATAGAGAGGATGTTGCGGAAAGAGGTTCTTTGTTTGTCTAACAATATCTAAATATGGCATGCCCGGCTTCACCATTAGCATATCCGCTCCTTCCATCACGTCACGTTCTACAGCCCTCATAGCTAATCCTTTAGAACCGCTGGGTAATTGATAGCAGCGACGATCCTTGAAAGCTGGTGCTGATCGGGCAGCATCTCGGAACGGTCCATAAAAATTGGAAGCAAATTTCGCCGAATACGACAATATCGAAACACGGTTTTCAAGACGGGCTGCAATCAGTGCGTCTCTAATAGCTTTAATGCGATTATCCATCATATCAGAGGGAGCCACAATGTGAGCACCAACTTTTCCGTAGGCCACTGCCACTTCAGCTAAACGTTTTATACTTGCTGCATTTTGAATAACATTGTCATCATCCAAAATACCGCAATGTCCATGATTCATATATGGGCATAGACAAACATCGCAGGCAATTAGAAGCTTTGGAAACCATTTACATAATAATGGCAGAATTTTTATAACAGGATTTTCTGCCGAATCAGCATGAGTAGCATTTTCATCTTTCATAGAATTGTCAATCACACCAAACAATAAAACCGATTTGAGACCTTTTTCTATTAAAGGTTCCAAATGTTTACGCAATCTATTCGCTCCGAAACGTTTCTGATCAGGCATACTGGCGATAGTTTCCTCTGCGTCATCGTCATTTACTAAAAATAAAGGATACATAAGATTGCAAGTTGTTATCTCACAACCAGGTTCCTGGAGCAATCGTAAGGTCGGATGATGTAAACAACTATGAAGCTTGATATCCATTTTAAGTAAAATAAATTAACACTTCCTTATCGGTTAAGTAGTAAGTGCATTAAGCTATATTTGGCTGCCACCTCTTATATTTGTTTCCACTTGAATTATTCAAATAACAAAAACAATTCTATTTAAAAAAATAAGTAAATTTTTTATATTCGGCCGGTCTGCGCCATCCTATCACAGCCGTTGCGAATGTAGCTGCCGTAGTCAGTAAAAATGCTACATATACTAGAAGCATGTTTTTAATTTTTCACAATACTTATATAAAAAATAATGTATTAGGGTTAACGACGTTTTACATTGCTTTCTATTTTCTTTGTATATCTACCTTTCTCTCTCTTGCAAGCATTGAATCCTAAATAGGATGGATGATATGACCAAATATCAAAAATGGTTTGACTGAACGTGCTTGCATATGACTTCGCTGAAGATAGTTGGGTAAATTTTAATTTTGCTGAAAAATTTAATTGGCAGTCAACACAGGGATGTTATTATAAATGCAAGCACAATATCGTAAGGTTAATATTCTAAACATCATAGGATAGTTGGGATGTAATGATAATCCGATATGATTCCTTAGCGTCGTTTATAATGTTCTGGTTTATTTCTCTTTACCTTTAAAATTAATAATCTGGTTAAAGACAGGGCTTTACTACTAAATATAGTCGAATAAAGAACGCATATAAAGAAAGCTCAATCTTAAAAAAATACGCAGCTAATTTGAGTAATTTATTCGTTGTGAAGCGGCTTTTAGTTTCTTGTTTTCATGCTGAGGTATAAAAGAACTTGCATCTTACGACCTATCAAGCCCAGTTAATTAGGGAATAATTTGAAGAGGAGACGTAATTCGGATGAAAAAGCAGTAAGCAATTTTCTTAGAAATTTTAGCCTTGTTTGTTAGATTTTTCTTTTACAGCATACGTCCCCAAATGGGAAATGTGTTAATGGTAGCCTGTGTGTATCAAAAATTTGCCACATTTTCTAGCTAGTCTACAGCCAAAATTCATATCAATTTTAATTAAATTAAAAATTTATTCAAAACGATGGTAAAAGAAATCAACCTTTTATAAAATTTTAAATTACATCAAGAAATCTTTTAACAATACGAAGTATTGCCAGAAGTAAAAAAACTAAAAAAAAAATATTCAATTATGTATACTCACGTGGTATTTCTTGCAGAAAATGCCAACTTTAGTATAATATTGTAAAGCTGAGGCCGAAGAATCAAATTAAATTAATAAAAGTATTCTCGTAAATCTTGATCTTCACTATGGATATATGTTAACACGGAAACAGTTTCTAAAGACGGCTCTCTTCGCGAAGGGGATTGCCGAAAAACGCGAGCTTACATATGCAACCGAGTTGAAAGAAAAAAATTAAAGTAAATCGAACCATGCGTGCCGGCTGCACGCAAACTTCCCCTAATACCTTTTATGCTAAATATCGCTTTGCCGAGTCTATGATACTTTCTTTTTATGGAAGAGTTTAAGTAAATTAATATCACTTGTTTTTTAGTTAAATTAAAAAACGAAGTCACTTTTAATTGGTGATATGTTTTTCCTTATTCTTTCTTCTTCTTCAAAATATGAAATGACGTGGACTTATTTCTTTTTTTTTTTTTATTTCTTTTTTTCCGAAAATTGTGGTGTTCTCAGCTTTGAATTGAGAACGTAATTATTTGAAAGCTTTTTTGACTGACAAGAAAAATGAAGTATTTTTCTTTCTCCAATTTTTTTTGACAAATATTTCAAGTCAAAACATTTGTGTATAAAAAAAATTTTTTTACTTGTTAGTATTTTTCAGTATCATTTCGCTTTTTATACCTTACACCGATATACTAAGTTGTGCGGATGTTTGCAAAACCCAACATGCGGACTTAAGAAAGATCCAATTTTCAGTGTGAAAAATTTGCATCGAACGGCGAATTTACGGAAATTGAATCTTTATATGGTAAAAAGGGCTAATTTTCAGTATTTCTTAATGATAATGCGTTCATAGTAATAGGTTGACGTAAATATAATTAATTAAGAAATTCAGAACACGTGTCCCTATTTTCTGAATTCCACCTCATATAAATAACCTAATGAAAAATTATACTTTATGTGTATATAAGTGTAATTTGATATAAAACTTAACTTTCGCAAATTTGGATCAAATAGGTCCATATTTTAGATCTAACCATTCAAAGAGACTAATGAAAAGCACTCACCTATGACGACAAGGTCTAACTTGTAGTTTTTAATGACAGAAGTGAGTGGAAGTTAGTAAAATCTTCTAGAAGTAAACTGAGTTTGCTAAGTTTGGATCATATGACGTTTTGAGCATCCTGCGGTGTGCTGTAATAAGTTCACAGGAAATACAATAAACTCGGCAGACTAGCGAATCAAAAATTATTTTACCAAAATCAGAATCATCTTAAGAAAATTGTAAATATTGTAAAATAACGATTAATTTTGAAGAATACGCAAAAATGTATTGTGGAGTTGTAGAGCAATGAAAATGTGTGTACAAACCCGAGAAGAATGTGGCCATAATTTATGTTCCAGCAATTAAATGACAAGCACTTACGAACGGGTAAGCGCACATCTGCAAAGCTAAGGACTATTCCTAGCAATCGCGTCTGTCTAATCACCTCGACGCCCGTTACATAGGTATATGTTTTATATTCTTTTTTCCCTATGCGCTTCGTTTTTTGACATAAAATAGTGGAAGAGTAGTGGAAATGGAAAGTTTTCTGCCAAATTTGAAGTGGACAGCTTCACTTTTTCCCCCAAGAGAATTTTTACAACAGACATTACAGAGACGGGCAGGCAGACAGACGAACAGATTGACATACTTAAACTGATTTAAAATTTGATACTGATCAAGAATGATGCTTTCTACGGAACGATGCAAATGTTTTGACAAAATGAATATACCCTTCATCTTTCACGTATTGTCACGATTCTATTAGGCGAAGTGAAGTAGGGCATCTGATAAACGGAATGGCCCGAATATAGGGTACTTATTTATTTGAAATGAGTAGTACGTGATTTATCTTCTCAATTAGCCGAAGCAGTGGATCGGTTGATCAAGTTGAAGTGAAGCCTCCTCTTCTTCCTACTGATGTAATGCCATCTCAATGCAAAAGGTTTCGCCATTGGCTTAGGTCTGGTATCAGACGAAAGGCATCAGGAAGCCATACAGTGGGATATTTCAGTTTGGCTGTTAAAGGTCAAATTCCCGCAATGGTAGTTATTTACTGGAATCCAAAAATGGGATTAATTGGGGCATTTGATGAAATTCTTAACATTATTTTATTCACAAAAGTTGAGATTGAAGAATATTGATCAACTTACTTCCCGTCTTCCAAAAAAATGTGCCTTTTAATTATAAAGAATTCATGTAACTAAGACGTACGTATCGTCCGTTGACAGGTCATTACATTGTAATTAACATAATTGACTTAAAATGTGGCCAAGAAAAGGCGTTTATTTTTTTATACTTCGTTAAACGGGTAATTGATTAAAATTAAAACATAAACAAAATATATTCGCATAATTTACTGAGTATAAAATCCATGAGATAATATAAAAGGCTTAACTGTGAAAAGGACTAAAGCAGTCGGTTTATGCTTGCACACAGGATCCTTGGTGTGATTTATAAAGGAATAGAAAATGTTTTCATATTCTATATTAACTTTGCTTTTAATGGGGTTCTTAATTGTCTCCAGACATGAGACACAGGCATCTTCTATACAACGTTGGAATCATCGCGATTATCAATTTTCAAATCCGAATCTTAGATCGTTATGTCCGCCAAAAAATGAACAACCACAAATGCCGCTATGTAAATTGGGAAGTTTTGCTTACAATCCCGATCCGGAGAATTGCGGTACCATCTACAAGTGCTATTTGGATGCAAATGAATTTTGCGAATATGATGAGGAGTGCGCTGACAATATGGTATGTCATTGCAGTTATTGTAATCATACGCGAGGTGGAACTCTATGCCTGGATTCCACTTTATTCAGACAATTTAGAAAATACAATTAATTGGAAAATGATTTGAATTTATGTAAAGGATAAATTTTAAACAAATAATCGCCTTAATGTATTGAATGAGAAAAAGTATAATAAATTTTTATCATAATTATCAGCAAAATATACTCTTTTTTTTTTTTTTTTGCTTTTAATCTGTTTTTTTTCTGATACGTCGTCAGTGTAAAATTGCTTTTCCATGATTTGCGAGAGAAACTAGTGAAAACACGCCGCAACGTTAAATACCCGACGTTACTTCGCTTACCACAGTTATTCATAAAACGACTTTGCAAGATAAGGCACTATATGGGAGGTTGGGAAAAAATGGTCTAATCCGAACCATTTTCAATAACGTTCGGCCTTGGATCAAAACAAGTCAGGGTAACAAGTTTTAACGAGACATCTCAAAAATCACGGACCAGGGTTTAAATAAAAGACAAAAAAGACGGACAGAAGGACAGACGAACAGACAGAGCTTATAAATTAATATATATTAAAAGAGGAGCCTATCACATGTCCTTTTGCGTTTTATATACATTCGTACAAATTTAATGTACCGCAACTAGGATAGAGTATAAAAATTGATCTACCTTCTTATCAAAATATATTGGAATTTGTGACACACGGAAAATGTAATTATATATTGATACATGGAAGGGAAAAATATATATCTGACACATTTTTATATCTAAGATAACAGGAACTGTACAGTGTATTCATATTTTCTAAAAACTACCCAGAAGAAAGCTACAAAACTGCTATTGAAAGAAGTGAGAACATTATAACCGGACAAGGGCGATCCTACACCACATTCTCTAACAATCCTTATCATACCCACCATTGTACGATGAGAGTGTTTTCTTGTCGTAAACTGTGTCATGTATGTGTTTGCAGTAACGTTGGTTCCTGAGTCAAAACACGTAACTGTACAAAATTTCACTCAAGTCGAAGTCGATTTAAGCATGTTCGCATGTTCGCATGTCCGTCCACGTGAATTTGGTTATAAACATTATGCTGGCTACAAAGACGAAGCCATCTGCTTCAAATTTCCAAAAACATTGGAAGTTCTTGCACAAAGTTGGTATTAAAAATGGTGTAAATCGATCGAAGCGCAGGCTCTGAGAAAACCTTTTCTTTTAAAAAAGGAATAAAAAAATTGGATTTTGGTCATTACTTAAAAACTATAGCAGATAAGTGTATAAAAA